GCATTGGTTAATTTTATGCCACTGATAAAGCTTTTATATGTAGTTTGGGGTAACAAAGGGGTTTTATAGGTTTGACTGAAATAATAATGCAATAACTGACACTTTAAATCAATGTTTCAAGAAACAACAACAAAAAAATTGAACAAAAAACAGATAAAGACAAAAAAGTAGCCATTGATAATATCTAAACAATATGTAGTAGTATAGTATATAGTATCCAAATCAAAATTTAATAAAATTAATTTATGTGTGATTTATGTGTAAATTATGTGCAATATCTTAGCCACTAGGGATTGTTACATATGGCTATACAGGCATCCAGTGGCAACACAATGATATTACAGATACTAAATTGTGCAAAATGTTTATCTTAACAGTCAATTTACAAATAATGCAATCAGATTTGTGGAACTCAATGCACTGAATCTCCACAAATTAGTGTCGTTACTAATCAGTAATTAGTGCTCGTAATTAGTGACAACCAATTTGAATGTGACAAGCAACTGGTGTCTGAAAATAATTTTATATTTATATATGACGTGACATGACATGTGGTGACCCATGTGACATGTGGTGACCCATACTCGGAATTAGTGCTCTGCATTTATCCCATCCAAAGTGCACACACACAGCAGTGAACACACGCACAGAGCAGTAGGCAGCCATTTTTTGCTGCGGCGCCCGGGGAGCAGTTGGGGGTTCAGTGCCTTGCTCAAGGGCACCTGGGGCGGGGGGGGGCAATAGGGATTTCGCCTAGGGCGTCAAGTTGGCTACAAACGGCCCTGTCCCCAACCCACACAACTCTATAATATATATGCGGTGACTTTTTTTATCCGGGTATGCTGAGTGATAAGACCCGTCAGTTGTACCCTTCGAAATCCTTCATTCCTAAGGGCCCTCTGAAGTGGCCGGTTTTGAGCACTTTGGTTTGGAACAAGCTTTCAGAGGCCATTATTGTTTTTGGAACGCACTGATAGGCATCTCCTCCGTTGACTTACATTCAAGCAGAACAGCATCCTGTCTAGTCAAACACACATCACGAATTTTAGTGGCTCCCTCTTGAGAGGGGCTCTGCTCAACATCACAAAATTACCCTAAATGCGTTCCAGTTCACAGGGTTTCCAAGCACAAATTTGAAAAGTAATCAAACAAACAATTAACGTCCTTATCAGTGTTTATTTACTGTTGCAATCTAATTTGTATGATATATGATCTGAAATAATGTGGTAATTATCCTTCCCCATTAAAGCAAACTTATGTATGTTAAATGAAATATTTATTTTGCAATGAACTGTGTTTTATAAGGTAGGCACGAACAATTTTGCGACACTTTGTTTCATTTTACGGTGCTTTCCTAAACACGTCAATAGGTTGCATTCTCTTGATTTGAGCAATCCTCCGTTTCAAACCCGTGATTCAAACGTTCTTTTAGATTCGCTAAATTTCTACGACTGAAGAGACAAACATTACATTTGTAAGCTATTTCACAAGTCATGATCATCAGGTATGTGATCTGATTATTCTTATCCAAATATGTATTTGGAAATCTAGCTAAACAAAGCTAGGGAAGAAACCTAACGCTTGAAAGAAATGAATCCATATGTAGGCTAATACTGGGCCTATAGTAAAAAATTTATAAACTCAAGTTTGAAAAATTTGGACTCCACCCTGATCTGAAGACTAGCATGACTAGCATGTCTAAACTTGTACAATCGTTTAGTTACAGTATCTACCTTTATAAGCACATAAATTGTTTGCATATGTACATCATTAATATGCATATGCAAACTATTCTGTCCCTGTACTAACAAATCCTATAACTAAATTTTTTCTTCTTTTTTTTTTTTCTTTTTCAGTTTGCACACTATATTATGTGTTTCATTTTGTTCAAGTGTTTCTGGAGAGCTAGTTTCCTACTGAATTCAGTTTCAACCCTGTTCTAACACTCTGTCTTGAAGATCTCAATGCAGGTTCAGTTATAGAGTTGGAGCTAAAACTTGCAGGTAGATTTCCAGGAATGGTATTGGGCACCCAACAGGGAGCCCAAGAATAACCATAAATTCTCAGTAGCAAATCACCAAAGTACAGCGTTTACAAAACGTTCTTGCTGTGCAGTTTTTTTAAGAATTATACTCAGTTTTTTTATAACAGTGATGCAAAATGCCTAGTTTATACAAGCATTTGCATTGGTTTGTAGATAATTCTAATACTTAAATTAATGCCCATGCATCTTCCACTCTACTGAAGCAGTTTCAGTTTTTAGTATGTTTGCGTAGCGTTCTTGAAATTGGTGTCAGACCCAGCAAACCATTTGTGTACTTCATCCACTACTGCTTGAAACTAACTTATGTAACATACAAACCCACACATATGTGAGCATATTCTTGATATTACTGATGACAAATTAAACAGAATTAAACATGAAATAACTTACCCTAACAAGCTGAAGAATATTTAATAAACATATCTGTTGACTGGCCTACATTTCTTCTGATACTATGAGCGCAATTATAAAAATGCATTAATGCTAAGTTCAGTCATAAAACGCTAGATGGCGCAGGCTGATGGGACATAACGCAAACTGATGAAATTCACAGCAACTACTTGGCACAAGCTGACTGATTCATGTTGCATATGCAACCAATGAGCTTCCTGCTTTATATTTAAATGGCTGCATTCACTACTAGAGCATTTTGCAGAGCGTTTTCAGAGTTCATCTGAAAACATCCACCTCCCCAGCTCCACCTGTATAGATCTGCTATGGGTTATTATATATGCTCTTCGTGCAGCAGCACTATGTCTTAAATACTCACAACACTGTATCAATTTATGTATTGGCATTAGCATTTTCCTGTACTTGCTTTGCAGCAGCAGCAGTGATCTACAACAACAGCAATAACCAACAGCAGCAGCAGCGTAGCAGATCTGTTCCACCAAGACCAAATACATTAACATTGTCATATCCATTACCATGCTAAAATCTTCAGAGAGTTGTGATGGTAGAAATGTTGTAATGCAAGTTAACTGAATCATATACTTCAAGGCCTGGTTTCACAGGATTAGTTCAATTACGACATTTAAGTATATTTTATAACCTTTGAAAATATCATTACTCTTGTGCACCTTAAGACAAAACAATGGCACTGACATATTTTAAAATCAGTCAGTGCAAGTTTCTTTCAGTTAAAACAGCCCAGACATGTATTTTAGTCTGGGACTAGGCTTAAGCCTTATTGTGAAACCAGGGGCAAGTGTTTAAAAGCAGGAGTGTGAAGTTTATTTTTACACTGCAGAATGTAAACATTTCAATTCTTTCTGTGTTTTCACAGGTGCTGTCTCATTTTAATTAATCTGTTAATGTTGATAAATGATGGTCAGCAAGGATATTTACTTCTCCACTTACATGTAAAAGTGTTCATAAGACAAAAAACCTTGTAAAATCTAAACATGCATTCATTTATCTTTGTCCTTTAACTTCTTTCTGTTTTCAGTGTCTCTGCAGGTCACTGTTACATACTTACATAACTGTAAGTAAGTTATGGGCAATTTTCGTTTTTGGGTGAACTATACTATTAATATGTTGTTACTCCAAACTCAGTTAAATACGATTAACATTGCATTATTAATACTTTGAATAATTAAAATACTTTCTTCTCATGAACATTCTTGAGGTGTAGAATACATATTGCCAGTGCTGTGTTTATTGTTTTCATGTTTGATCAGCATTTCTATCTTCTTTTTATTTAGCTACAGTGATAGTTAGATGCCTTAGTCCATGTTAGGGATTTCCGGGAACTTGATGTGTTCTATTACTTCTGTGAGGCATATTTGTTTTTTTGTTGTTTTTTTGTGCCCTCTGTTTTCAGTATGAATGAAACATTACATGTGTTTATAGCTCTCCATAATGCTCACACCACCCAATCTTCAGAAAATAAAGGAAATTAATACTTTGAAGAAATTTGAAGTAAACGTATGATAATCTCTGAGTTTTTCTCCTGAGAGCTACTTCCCTACTGATTTCAACTTTGTATTATTATATTAAGATTATATTTAAAACATTATGCCCTTAATATCTGTCTGATAAAATGTGTATTTAATAATGTTATTACTCCAAACTCACTTCATAATGTCAAACGAGTGTTTGAAACGCTGTAAAAAAGATGGATGACACGTCCCTCCTTCTTTCCACTGTAAAAAGTGAAGGCAAAATGTCCAAGGTTTTTGTATCCAGAGTCAACGCAGTATTTATCGTGATCTGAAACCATTGTATCAAAGTCCTGCCCAAACTCCCGCAAACCCAGTCATAAGCTCACAATCATGATACCACACCCTGTTTTTATAATATCAAATAACCATGCCCAATATAAATGTTGTGGCAGTTTTTTCTGTGGAATAGAAACTTATATTGGATATCAG